AACATAGGTATGTAAGTACAGAAAGACAAACCTTTCAGCAGCACTTGCAAAGCAAACAGGACATGTTGCAGTGCACCCTGCTTTTTCACATTTTCTATATTTCTTCTCTGATGCGTCATCATCATCCTCTGCTGCTTCAGCTGCCTTCTTCTTCACCTAATAAAGCATAGTTAGAATTGAACTCTCATGGGATCTGTGACTGGAAATGACAATGGCGCTGAATTTTCTACAGTGCAACACCCAAAGGTTCCTTTGGTTCATAATTCAGAGCACAGCAATCACTGGCTAAAATAATATAAATCAGATCTTTGGAATCCATAGCAGCATGGGACAACTTGACAACTGTCAAGGAAGGTCACTTTTAAAGATCCAATAATCTTAGCAATGTCCATTTAAGTTAAAGGACTCTTGATTTAGTCTTTTAACTGACACTCAAAGAATTTATAAAGCAGGGCTTCCAGTTTAAATTAATGGATCCCAGTGTTTCTAGCACCATCACTCCAATCTCTCATTAAAATTCTGTTATTGCACAGAACCAATCAATGTTAATATACATTAATAAAGATATTGTCACCGGCTCCTAAAATTTATCAATTAATTTTTAAAACAACAAAACTCCAATACAGAACCATCCTCCTGGTCATTCTGGGCATTGTGTGTCCAATTTGTATGGTCTATCTAGGCCTCAATCCTGCCAACTACTCTGTTTGGATGTACCCCAAAGACCCATTTACTTTATTTTCAAAATACAGCCAGTAATTATTCAAACAGTTTTACTACAAGTGGAAGAACTCCAAATGGTCTGACCCACCCCACCCCACCCCCATGGAGGTGGAGCCCATTGCAACATCAGGGCCTTTGCCTAAATTTACATCTCTGTCTTGTCCAATACTTTATAAGTGCCCCCTTCCTGTCTTTTTCTGGAGTTGTAAAATGCTCTCACCTTCTCTTTGGACAATTCCAAATACTTCTCCTCTGTTTGTGGTAACTGGGTGTAACCCTTTTGGACAGTACAGCGGAGTCCTTTTATAATAAATGTTTAAACAAATACATACTCCAATAATCATTTCTATGTAGCTTTAAATATATCATTTTTAACACTTAAGTACCTGTCTCCCAGAACTCCTCAAAGGAAGGTTATCTGGAGACTGGTCCAAAGACGACGACTTTTTTTTTGTTCGTACCCTTCCAGTTGACATTGTCTTATAGGATCTGCAAAATGAAGTTAGAAGATTGTTAAGTAATATTACAAAATGGTTTGGTTTGAGAGAGTGAACTAATTTGATATTACATGAACATTCACCACCACCACCACATTGGTCAGAGCTAGTTAGTCAAGCTACGTTCAGTCATATCCATTAATGAAAAAAGAAAAGAAAAAGTGGGTGGGCAGGAAAGAGGAACAGTAACTTTATTTTAAACTAAGCTCAATGTGAACATATAAGAGCAGATCCTCAAATAGTGTAATTCAGCAGAGGGATGGTCTTACTTAGGCATTACTTAATCCTACCTCAGCACAGGGGGATTGACTAGATGACCTGTTGAGGTCACTTCCAGCCCTTCATTTCTATAGCTGTATTGATTTCATTGGACTTAAGCTGATTTGCATCACCTGAAGACTTAGCTGATAATTATAGTTCAAAAAGTGAATAAGCATAAGCTCATAATGCAAGCCTTACACTGTTACTCTCAGTGACACTGGTCCTACCTATTGATTTATGGGGAGGGCTGAGGAATTTGGATTGTATAGCAACTTTTAACATAATGTATTTGAACTCTTATTTAATCTAAAGTCAAGGACAAATTAAACGTATTCCGAGACTTGCCCACCTTGCATACATATGAACGTACTTGTTCATTTGGAGTCTAGACAATTGTAGTTGCATTGTAATTATATGTAGTTATGATACTTCATAAGTTACCAGAAAATGTATTGTAGCATACATTATAAAAATAATTGTCTTAGTAATTTGAGGCTTCACTATAATTCTCCCTGATTAAATCTTTGATTGGAAGTGGGGAAGAAACCACCATTTATTGCACAAGTTATAAGGTGTGCAGATCTTGGTGTATAAAAACATGCTGCAAAAGATTTAAAAATATGCTATGTCTTTTACTCCAGTGAGTGAAGTACAAACATGAGAGAACACAGAAAAAGAAAAAGATACAAAGGGGAAGCGATACCACAGAAAGATATCTATATTAATCCACTGAACCGAGAACTCAATCTGTATTATTGAGATATAAAAGTGACAATCAACTATAATCCTATGCAGTTCATAATATATATACTTGTGAGCCTTTCCAATAATCAATCACTGCCATTTCTACATCTACCCTTTTTATGTTATATCTTATTATAAACCACTAATTGCCACTGAAATGCTCATAGCAATTTCCTTTTGGGAAGGCATTTAAGGTGTGGATATGTCTACACTGCCCATGTTACAGTGCTGCCGCTCTCCTGGCGATAAAAAAAACCAAAAACCGAATGGGGGTGGTAGCTTTATCGCTGGGTAAGCGCTGTGTATACTGGCGCTTTTCAGCCCTAAAACTTGTCACTCGGGGTGTGTTTTTTCACAACCCTGAACAACTAAAATTTTAGCACTGAAAGTAGCAGAATAGAAAGTTTAGTTAGACAACAGGAAGAGATAATAGGTGTTCATACAATGGGATTTATTTATTACCAAGTGGACGTGATGTGATCAACTAAACCAACACAGTGACCTCACCCTGAGGTGAAAGGATTAGACTGAAGTGGGGAAAAAAAAATCACACTAAGATATCTGTGTAAATGAAAACGGAAAGGGAACGGAGTTTAGACAAACCAACATATTACCCACCTTTTGTTTATGTAGCTAACCTAATTAATTAGAATAAGATCAATAGAAGCATGGTGATCTGTAGTGTATTGAATAAAGAACAATGTCACCACACCACAGATGTACTGAACTGGGTAACATCTCACCTGCATATAGAAAAACACAGTCTGTATTGTATGGGGCTTTTCCTAGGCATGCACACACCTCTCTGTGACATGGTGCTGTTTTTTCCTGCAATCTGCTTTCAGGAGTGGGGTGTAACTTGTATATCCTTTGTAAGTCTTACTTGGTAACAAAGTGTAATTCCTTAGCAGAGAAGCTTTTGCCATACGTGGCTAGACATGTCTGTTTATAAACTATATTATCCCGAAGAAAAATTACCAATATACATTGAGTTTGGTGAACCTGACTTGAATTGGGTATTTGACTATTACCAGCTGGACAACTGCTGACTAGTGGACCAGAAGAGACAAAGAGAAGAGAAGGTAATTCTTTCTGTATACAGGGTCACAGACATGGAGAAGAAGGCTGCAGTTATCCTCTGCCATTTAGGGCACAGATAACCCTTCACACCTGAAGAATGGCTGGCATATTTATCCGTTTAGATGTATAGAGAACTTGCATTTCTGGTTAAACAGTCTGCTTATTGGATCCTGCCAGTGGTGAATTTTTTTTTAAGTGAGTAAACTATCCTAAACTCCTATTCCCCAATGAGAAGTGGGTAAACTCTGTTTACCCACATTTACCCTCAGCTACACTACTGGATCCTGGGAGGGATGGGGGGAGAATCCCCCACCCCAAAAAAAACAAAATCTTCATTTCCAGTAGCAAATTGTTCTATTATTCTAAGCTAGACTTTACATGTATCTTATTATTATTAATAGTAGCTTTTTGGCTGCTAAAGTAACCCTGAAAGGGAGACATTTATGATACATTAAAAATGTCACATGATGTGACAAAATGTGTTACATATTACTACATGGGAAAATATTTCAGAGTTTAAACATACAGTGACAATTAGGTCATTTGAATGACATTAATATGGTAAGATTTTGGATAATCAAAAATTTTATATACATGTACATATTTAAATGTATCCATTTTAAAATAAACTATTTAGGAAAAACATTCAAATGGAGTTTTAACTAAAACATGTCAACAAAACCATTTGACAGAATATTTCAACCCATTAACCATAAAATGGTAAAAATCACATAAAATTAGCATATTTAACATTTTATGTCATTATCTGCAAGTACCTTGCAAGAAAAGTCCCCTTTTAGACACAGGACAACATAAGTAGCTGTAAGGCAATGTGTCAAGGGTCACCACCGCAGCTGGGGATAGCCAGGTTGAGGTTCCTCTTCTAAATCTTGGGGTCCCGCAGGCTCCAAAAGAATCCCGAAGCTACAGAGCACAGGTGGGAACTTCAAGAAGAGAAATCTATCTATGCTCTGCAGGAGCTGGTTTCTGCTCACCTTGGATCCAAATCACCCAGGAGCTGGATATTAAACTAATGTGTCCGAAGCACTTCCAACCAGAGCTGCAATAAAGAGAAACTATGGTAAGGTCAAGCGATAGACTCTCCCTGGAAATAATCCCTGCTGCACTCTGGAGACAAACCCGCGGACACCTGCTCACCCCTAGCGCGGTGCTCCGACCCAGACACTCCCTACTCCCCACAGAGACACTCCTTCCCACGGCCTGCCAGGTAGGAAGACACCAGACTCCCGATACACCCCTCTCCTTACCCTCCCCCTCACCAACCATATAAAAATCCCAGAGATCCTACCCCCAAAATAACCCCCAGGGAGCCCCAAATCCCTGATTCCAAGAGCGCGCCTAAGCTCCCACACCCACAGACCCTCCCCCCCAAAGGAAAAGATTCGTTAGGGACCCCCCAAAAGAAAGACCCGCTCGGGGGCTGCTGGGTCCGCTTTGTGCGGCGCTGTCACCACATCCCCGCCCCAGGCGGCAGCAGCACCAGCACCAGCAGTGCCGCCTTCCCCAGGGAAAGGCGGCAGCTGCCGCGGCCAAGCGCCCGACCCCGTCCCCGGCGGCAACCGGCCAGGGGCACTCACCGCAGGGCGCCGCCGCTCCCACCATCCTCCTCCCGGGGCGGCTGCAGCTCACCTCTCACCCCCGCCCGCCTCCCTCCGCTGCTGCTTCCGCTCTGCTCGGCGCGTAGCGTGCGGGGCAGGGGGAGGAGACAGCGGGTTCCTCCCCTCGCGGCCAGGCGGGCCGGGCTGGCTGGACTCGGGAGACTAGAGGCGGCTTGTCTGGCCGGGGGCTTCTCGGTCCGCGCCCAGGTCAGGACGGGGCGCTCGCTCGCTCGCTAGCTAGGAGTCCCGGCGTGCAGCGCTGGGGGCCGGGCCCGGGGTTCGGCGGGGAGCCGGAGGGAAAGGGGGCCGGGGCTTTGGCGTTGGCGTTGGGAGACGGAAAGACGCTGCGGGGGGCGGGGTCCCTGCCCCACGGAGCCAGAGGGGGCTGGCCGAGCGCCAACCGCTCGGGTCGGACTTTACACGGGGGGCGCTGGTAGCATGTCCGGCTCCGCAGCCTCGCCCTTCTTACAGAAAAGATTCTAGGGTTCCCTCGGGTGCTCTGCAGCCTCCATCGCCCTGGCACTGGTTGTCCCCTGGTCTGCTGTTTAATCCTCAATATACGGACAAGCCACTAAAGCCCTGATCCAGCAAACGCTTGAGCGCCTGCTTTATTTTAGACAGGAGAGTAAATGTCCTGCCCTTGCTGTCCATCATGGCACTGTTTGGGCTTTAAGTTAAGCATGAACATGTTTGCAGCATCAGGGACCAGCAGAAGTGTGGAGAAATCGCATTGTTCTAAGGCGTTAAAGGAGGATAGAGTGCTTCAGAGGACCCAAATTAACTGATTGTGTAATCTCATAGTCTCGTAGTGTTGTACAATACACAGTTTCTCAGCTCAGTCTCTCCTCCTTCTGCTTTGTTTTATTTTATTTCTGTTCTTTTTTGACAGTTTATTTCCTTGGATGCTGCCCCTCCTCCTCCCGGGGAAAAAAAGTACATTAATGAAATTGCAAACTGAAATAAAAACCAAGAAAAATTACTAGTAAATTTCCTATTGTGAGATGGTCACTTGCTCACATGTGGTATTTTGGATCACTCTTTAGGCAATTAATTATTTAACTTCTTCTTTATAAGATTGCTACAATCTGGAACTATCATTTGCTGTTCAGTTTTTGGTGTGTTTTGTTTTTTTGTTTGTTTTTTAGGAAAAAAATCAGTTTTAATTACTAAAAAGTAATTTAAAAATGAGATGTTATTTTTCTCTGAAACCTTATGTTATTTATTTCATGACCTTTGTAAATTTTAAGCTTTCAACATTAATATTGCATTAAATGTGATTTTGCATGTTGATTTATTTGGCATATGATGTCAGCAAGCTGTTAAATCTCTGTTTTGGGGAACAGAGCAGGGAAGAAGGGCATTGTAGCTGTGCTTTGGAGAGGAAGCTATCAGTGTAAAAGTATCTCCCTCTCTCCCCAATGGGGGAAATGGGTGAACGTCCCCTTTAATATTAGCCCCCCATTTAAATAGAGCTGCTTCCTACAGAGTCCTGTCCAGCAAACTGAAATTAAGTACAGTTTGAGAAACTTCTGGGACCACACCTAGAAAAAGGAGAAAAATTTGAAAAGAGCAGCCTTGCTATAATGCTTTCTGTTCTTTATAATCAATTCCTTTAACCTAGTGGTTTCCACATTTCTGAAAGCTGAACCTCCTTTCAGGAAAATGGAGACCATTCTTGCCCCCCTTCAGTCCGACCATGCGTTGTGAAAAGGCAATTTAAAAATAAGCTGTGGAAATTTATCTTCAAACATTCCAACCAACCCCAATTAAATCCTCGTGTATTTCTTTGGAATCTCATTGCTACTGTGTTATACTGTGCATGAATGGAACACAAGGGTAATGCATAAAATGGTATGTAAAGATTTGTTTAAGAATATAGAACAAAATTTCTTAAACATCTACCCATGCAGGAATTCTGGATCGTCCCATAGATGATATCTGCTCAAAATAAAGTGATCTGAGGTGATAGAAATATTGTCAATAGGTTAGGACCCACATTTAAATTCTGTTAATAAACTAAAGGCAAACCTGATATGAATAAAATATTTTCATGATCTTTTAAAATGCCAGTTTTTAATAGTGCTTTTATTCAGACAAAATTCCAGTTGAAGCTAATAATAGCAATTAATGAAAGTTCTCCCTGATTGCAGGATCAGGACTTCCGTGCATGGTACAAAATATTGGTTGGGGAATATATATTTTTACCTTCTACACAGACAACATAAGTATACAAGACTATGGAAAGTTTTACAGATGTACCAAGAATAAAAGAAAGCTCTGATATTGGGCAACAACAGGACAGAGTGGTGACTGAAGAGGAATGGCTGCAGAAATGGAAAATGAGACAAATTGGATTTCATAAGGAACAAGGACATCCGTATGTAACTCTTCCTTCTACTTAAACTGTAATGAACGATAATGGAATAATTTGACTTTCATAAGGCCCGTCATAAAAATGTAGCCTGGGTACAAACGTCAAAGTGTTTTGTACTAGCCTTGTTCAGAGCTTCTATAATTATGGTTGTTTAAGCTGCCATCAGAAGGATAATGGAGAGATGGAAAGATCACCTTGCTTGTCAAACTTTTACATCTTAAATGAGATCTTTAGGCCCCGAAACTTATATGTGGTCTGTGTTTTTTGATGTGAAATACTTCTGCAGTATTTATGAATTGTTTTAGACCCCAGTCTTGTAATATGTAGTGCATATGCATGGCAGTTTACCCACATGATGCACTGTTACATTGCCAAAGTTGAGTTAAATACAAGAAGTAAATAGTGTAGAGTAAATTCACATGTTTTAGGTTCGTTCAATTTTAATAATCTAAAGTAGCCCTTTCAGAGGTGGGGAATTCTTTTGCCTGAGCAGTAGGCTGTGCCCATTTATAACGGTAATTGAATTTACATTTTTTGTTTAATTAAATGTCTATTAAAAAGTGGATGTTATATTGTAAATTAATGGAGACAGTTTGAAACACCAAAGTATAGTACACTTGGGGTTGAGTGGAAGCTTTTAGCTGGGCTATTGCATTATGCCTGGCATCGCTGTATCTATAGCTATGGGTTACTTTGACCAATTACCCATCCCAAGGTGAGGGTTTACACCTATACCTTAATCTCTGAAAGTTCAGCCTCCAAGAATGACTACAGTAGAGAGGTTATCAATAGAAAGAGGACCCCCAAGGTGAATAATAGAGACTGCATAGTGCTCTTTCTATAATAATTACTTTTATTAGCAATCAAACAACAATACACACACTGCAATCTGTTAAAGGAGAGAGAGACCAATACAAAACACATAGTATTTGCATTACTCACACCATGCCTTGTGGAAAAACCTGAAGTGCTAGTCATCCTCCTCATCCTCACCACCACCAGTGGTCATCATCCTGGTTTCTCCCTCCCACCCAAGGCACGTAGGCCACAATGCAGCTTTTATAATCAGTTGTGCTGATGCCCACTGGGGTTCATACATATTTATGATGGTTTTAGGAGCCCCTTTCCTTATTTGACTTTCCATACCTCACTACTTCTGGGGTGTGGCATTTTCCATAGGCTAACTTGTTAGTTCCCCTTTTACTCATTAACGTTTGCGTCACCTTACCACCATAGTAACAGAAAGTCTCTAACATTTCACTCAGGCTGCCAATGGTCATCTTGCGGTGTCTACTGAGCTCTCAGACGTTTTTATCCAAACTCAGCACTTCTTTTAAAAAATCAGTGTATCACAAACATAGACACAAGTTCAGCGAGTTTATTAGTAGCTTACTTAGCTCTATTATAAAGGTAAGTTAGCATAACTTATCCTAAAGCCTAATTTGGCTAAACTAAATATTTTACAGCCAAAGGCCTATAGGCCCTATGTTTATATCATTAATTAATACTTATATTTTACCTTTATAGCCTATAAATATCTTATACCTTTTATGCTTGGCAACGCTGGCTTTTCAACTATGAACATGAAACAATTCCAATATTAAATAATTATTTATTTTTCTTCTGCAGGATTTTAAGGAAGTATCTGGATGTTCTTCTTAATGGCAGGAGTGGACTAAGGATATTTTTTCCACTTTGTGGCAAAGCAGTAGAAATGAAATGGTAAAACACAGCCCTTAGGAGTAGAAATTTCTAAGTTATTTTTCTTGGAAAACACATTATCCTGTTTACATATCTGTAAATAAGTGAACATAATAGTCATTCCTCTATTTTCACCATAAAATATAGTTCCTTTGCTTTTACATGCTCACTAGAGATTTTAAAAGAAGGCAGCATTTAATTCTTCCAGGTTTTCCAGTGATGAGGTAATAGTAACAAAGTTTGCAAACATTCGTATAGGAAAAATAACAGCTGTATAAAAATTTGATGTCCACAAAAGCAGCTAGGTTACGAAAGAGTAAACTGTTTAAAACTTTTGGTATGGTAAGTTGATTGAGAGCTAGAAAAAATTGCCAGGCACCTATTATCGAAATAGGGAGAGTGGGCACCAATGAGCTTCAAGGAAAATGACCTCTTAAGAAGCACAGTACCTTACACCTGGCTGCTAGGAAGTGGGAGGGTGCTGGGATTCCTACCAGGGTGCTCTCCCAGGACCCTACTTCAGGAGTATCATAGTATGTACTATCTGCTCATTAGTAAATGTTTGTTTAACTTTAAGCTTTTCAATCTCTGGGGACTAGGAGGGAGAAGAAGCTCTGTCTTCGCCTCCTTCCAACATGTCCCCCTTCTCCCTCCCACCATCCCCAAAAAAAGGTTGGGGGAGGGGGGTGGAGTGTCTCTGCTACTACTCTGTACCAACATAGCCTCTTAGTTAGTACGGTCTCTGTTTTGCCAAACAGCAGCAGTGTGAAAGAAATGGCATTCTTATCAGTTTAACTGCTGCAGAGAGTTCTGCACAGTGAACCTGACCAGTGTGTTGTTAATTTCATTCTGCTGTTGTTTGGCAAAGCCAGGCAGCAGCATAGGTCTTGAGCTGTGTATCTTGAGACAGGAGAGAACAGTAGTAATGTGTAAAATGTGGTAATGCTGAGTCATTCAGGCAGGGCCGGCTCTAACTTTTTTGCTGCCCCAAGCAGCAAAAAAAAGCGCCGCCCTGCCGAGCCCCCTCCGCCCCCCGAGCTCCCTCCACCACCCCCCCGCTGAACGCCGCGCCGCCGGAACCTCCCCCCCCTGAGCGTCGCGCGCCGCCCCCCCACCGAGCACCGCGCCGCCGAAGCGCCCCTCCCCCCCGCGGAATGCCGCGCCACTCTGCGCTGCCCTCCGCCACCCCAAGATTGGCCGCCTCTTACCAAGTGCCGCCCCAAGCATGTGCTTGGTTGCCTGGAGCCTGAAGCCGGCCCTGCATTCAGGCATGCAGTATAAGATTGCTTTTTTTTTTTAAACTCATGTCATGTATTAATATTGATCATGGTTACTAGAGATTTCACTTCTGTCCCTTGGCATGGGTTGGCATCCATCTTCAGTTCAAATTTGGAAAATTTTCTTTATAACCAGTGTTTGAGAAAGTGATGGTCTAGCTCCTCATGCTTGCCAGAGAAAGTTTCTTACTATTCAACAGCATTTGAGGTTTTCAAACCTTGATGTTGTAATAACTTTAACAGGATGTGAAATATCAAGCAAACACTTTATCCACGGGGTGACTGAATCCTTTGGTCATCCACCATGGGAGAGAAGTATTATTATTGGTCATTGTAGGGCCCCCATATTTTCCATTAATATAGTAAAAATGAATAACCCATTGCATGTAAAGTTTATCAAGTTCATACAAAGTGCATTCCTTAGTTCATATCAAGATCTACTAAAATAACCATGTAAAATTGCATTAAAATCAGATACTGTGTTTTTTTCCAATAAAGTGTGAAAACTCCAAGATTAAAAATACCTTGTCAGATAGGATCTAGATAAATCCTATCTGACAAGAGCCGGGATTCTGAAAAAATTGCTGTAATAAACCAGTGTTCTGTAGGAGACACACATGTACCAGAGCCCCATCTTGAGGTAGAGAATGGATGAGTATAAATCAAAATTATGTAATAAGAACTATGAATCACAAGTAAACATGAAAACTTGTATTGCTGTGCATAGGTTAGCTGACATGGGACACTATGTAGTTGGTGTGGAACTCAGCGAATGTGCACTGAAGGAATTTTTCACAGAACACGATCTTTCTTATTCTGAAGAAACAATCCCAGGGATTTCTGGAGCCAAAGTTTTTAAGGTTTGTTTTGTGCTTGCATAGTCAAATATTTTTATATACATGATGATGCATTTTAGGGATAGCTGAGCAGGCCAAACTGTTCTTTAGCCATTTAGAGCTTCTTTGCCTTGCTTTTCATCTTTCACCTGTTCTAAAGAGGATTCGGAGAGAGAAGCATCAAAGTTGAATTTTGTATTGGGTAATTATTCTCAAGCTGTTATTTAGTTTGGCCCTCATTCAGCAAGACATTTAAGTGCCTAACTTTAAACACTTTGAAGTTAATGGGACAACTCACATGCTTAAAATTAGACACTTGCTTAAATGCCCTAATGAATCAGTTGTATGCAGTGGTGTTGTAGCCATGTTGATCCCAGGAGATATTAGAGAGATGGTGGTTGAGGTAATATCTTTTATTGGACCAACTTCTGTTGGTGAGAAAGACAAGCTTTTGAGCTACTCAGAGCTCTTTTTCAGGTCTGGGAAAGGTACTCCCAGTGTCACAGCTAAATACAAGATCAAACAGATAGATGATGTGCTAACTACTTATGCTAAGGGACCAGTCAAGGTGAAGTGGCCTGTTAACACTCCTGTAGTGGTAGGACAAAAAAAAAAGGGGGGGGGGATTAGTGATTACAGATTGTTGTAATAAACCATAAATCTAGTCTCTTTAGTTAAAGATATTACCTCACCCACCTTTTCTCTCTCTTGGAACCTTTAAGCCCATGCCTCATGACAGTGGTGAAGCAGCAGTCACAGCGCCTTGAGATACATCAATAAGGAAAAAGTGAAAGAACATTCCTCCTAATCCCTCCCCCACTTAGGTTTTTTATTTTAAAATATATCTATATTAAAATATGTTGTTCACTAAAAGCTGTTTCCCTGCTTTTCATTGTAGAGTACCTCTGGGAACATTTCTCTGTACTGTTGCAGTATCTATGATTTGTCCAGGTAGGAATGAACAGCATTTTTTGACAATCACATTTTTAACAAATATTGTTAGGTTATGTTTTGTCTGAACTAGCCAAAAACATTTGAGAAGTAAGGACCAAATCATAAGAAGCACTGAGCATCTGCAACTCTGACTGATGTCTGTCGCAGGCGAATATCTCCAGGTTGCCCCTTAGGGGTGAGAGCAGGCACCTTGATTACCTCCTGTGTTCTACAGACAGCCACAACCCTGTGGTCTGTTTCTGGATACAGAGTACAGTCCTGCAGCTGTGCCTTGTATGAATCTACCCCCTTTCAGAGGCTATAAAGCAATCCATACAAAAGGAAAATACTTCCCTGATCCCTCCTCCCCCTTCATTGCGCAAGAGAGAAGGAAGTAATTTCTCAAGCCTTACAGGCATTCTCAGTTCCTTAATATGAGTAAAGGTTAGGGCTTACTCATGATAGAATTGTAATAAAGATAACCAGCCCAGGCCATCTGCTTCTCCAGAGGGCTCAGCAGACAGCATGTGAAAGCCATAGTGAATGCTACAGGACTCCTAGTCTGGGAGCTTTGCTTGCCACCTCTACCACCCTGATTTCCTCCCTTTTAAGGGCCTGCCTCCAGGCCTGACCCACCTCACAGGTGTGAGAGGTTGGGGCTGATTGTGACCACAGGAGTTCCTTAACTTTGCTTTGTCAGTGGGAGTGGGGCATGTCATCTGCCCCACCATGCTACTGTGTGGGAGATGCAGTTATTCAGCATCTCTCAGAATCAAGCCCTGCCTGCTTGTTACTGACTGGGCTCAGTCCCTCATAATGCCAAAATGTTCTCAGTACCCAGAGCAGTCAATGGGCCAGATTTACCAGTCCATTAAGGGGGCTTTGCACCTGTTTTCTGGCTCAAAACTGCCAGATCCAGCCAGTGGAGGCTTTCCTTTGTGCCAGTGAATTATTGGGTGGTACAAAGCCACCTATGCCACTTTCCAGACTCCAGCATAGGGAGGGATACAAAGGAATCTTAAATCACCTTCCTTGCCTCTGATCATGTGCTGAATACAGTTCAGCCCGACCAGAAAATCTGTCCCATAGGGAGTTAAGGGCACTCAGCATCTGCAGGATAGTCCCAGTCTTGCATCCGCAAAAAGAAGAACAGGAGTACTTGTGGCACCTTAGAGACTAACAAATCTAATAAATTTGTTAGTCTCTAAGGTGCCACAAGTAC